AAACCTACACCTCTACACCAGCTCCACCTGCAAACCTACACCTCTACACCAGCTCCACCTGCAAACCTACACCTCTACACCAGCTCCACCTGTAAACCTACACCTCTACACCAGCTCCCCTGCTCCACCTACAAACCTCACCTCTACACCAGCTCCACCTGCAAACCTACACTCTCTCCACCTACAAACCTACACCTCTACACCAGCTCCACCTAAAACCTACACCTCTACACCAGCTCCACCTACAAACCTACACCTCTACACCAGCTCCACCTGCAAACCTACACCTCTACACCAGCTCCACCTGCAAACCTACCACCTCTACACCAGCTCCACCTGCAAACCTACACCTCTACACCAGCTCCACCTGCAAACCTACACCTCTACACCAGCTCCACCTGCAAACCTACACCTCTACACCAGCTCCACCTACAAACCTACACCTCTACACCAGCTCCACCTGTAAACCTACACCTCTACACCAGCTCCACCTGTAAACCCCCACCTCTACACCCGCTCCACCTCTACTACACAGCTCCACTGCAAACCTACACCTCTACACCCGCTCCACCTCTACACCTACACCAGCTCCACCTACAAACTACACCTCTACACCAGCTCCACCTACAAACCTACACCTCTACACCAGCTCCACCTGCAAACCTACACCTCTACACCAGCTCCACCTGTAAACCTACACCTCTACACCAGCTCCACCTGTAAACCTACACCTCTACACCAGCTCCTCTCTCCTCATGCTTGCATCAATAAAAGAATAAAAAAATAAAAAATAAAAAAAATGTATGCCAAGTTTTTTTTTTTTTTTAAATCTACCTTAAAAAAGCTAGTATTTAATATTTAGTCTGTGGTTTTGAGGATCTTAGCATAAGTAAAGACTGATGGTTCATTCTAATGTATTAAACATGCAAAAAAAAAAAAAAATGAATGAATGAAAAGAAAGAAACTGATGTGCACAAGGGAAAAGTCAAATCAAACATTCTGGGAAGACTGAGAAGCAGTTTGTCTTCAAATCTACAAATTTAAAAATATCAAAAAAAAATTCACAAACAAAAAATGTACTTTATAGGAATTTCGTCTGGACTTTTTTAACCTAATTACAAATAATCTACAGCAGACACCAGATAAACCAAAACTTATACGAACCAAACATCTGAACTCTGCAGACTTTAGAAAGAGAGATCAGACACTTCTGGTGACAGAGGCCAAAACTACAGAGCCTCAGCTTCACACAGAGCCCATGTGTTTGAGCTCCAGAAGGTTCATTTTACTCAGGCATTTTAGGGAAAATATCAAAATTTGTATCGAGTGACAATTGTTTTTGCTTAGTGTCAGAGTTGATCTTATAATGAGAATATATATACATTAAACAGTAAATGGCCTGTATTATGCAAATGATATATATTTCTTGGATAATGTTGCTTCCTCATCAAAAACATTCCAGGAGTTGTGTTTTGTTTCATGATAACATGAAGCTCACACGAGTCAGTTTTGCATAATAAATGACATTAATGCCAAATTCATACAGCCACTTATTTGCTGTTTTCTGATTTCTGTAAAACATTTTGACTTATAGAGCAGGTCCAGGAGTGGAGTTTGCATGTTCTCCTTGTGTCAAATGAGCAGAGCTGCAATGTTTAGAAAAAATAAATCAAACTGTGATGGGGCTCGATTTGGACACTGCTCCTGACAACAACTGGGCTCAATCTTCAACAGACTTATCACAAGGTCACCCATAAAAACAGCACCCTACATATCAGCATTAGGAGCAGCACCTAACCCTTGCTGCCCTGCTCAGATGCCCTCCTGAGGTTCACCCATGGCCTTTCTGAGATGCCCTTCCACAAAGTACAGATGCCCTTCTGTGCCCGTCGAAAAGAATTCACATTTGTGCAAAGGCTGGAATTGCTAAACTAATAAAGAATTCCACGCATTTCAGAATAGGTCTGAAAACTACATCATCAGTTTGGTTTGGTTTTGAATAACAGGACATTATGATATTTACAGAGGACGTATGAGTGAAATAATTGCAGTCTTTGTGACCTGATAATTGCAGCTCTAAAAGTGAGTATCCTGTGGTTCCAGTTTACCTCATCAACCCAAAACATGCTCACTGCACAGCACGTGAAAAGGAGGTGATTCTTACACGCTTGACACACTGCAGCCTTTGCTAGATACCCTTCCTTATGGTTCAGATGCCCTTCCTTGAGGTTCAGATGCCCTCCTGCGGGGTCCCTGCGAGGGTCCTGCGGGCGAGGCCTAAGGGGATTATCCACACTGGGGGATTACACTGGATGTGGGGCCACAGCTCAGGCTCAAATCTCTCAGATTTTACTGAACGTCCCAAAGCCACTTGTGCAGAGAGCTGTACACATGCACATGTACACATACACATGTGTGTGTATGTGCACATGTGCACATGATGCATTTACACCAATCAAGCTACACAGTTTCATATAAAAGCAGAGCAGAGACACACTGCAGACATCTGCCTCGTAGTCTCAACACTGGGTGACCTTAAAGGAACTTTATGTAAATTTTTCAGATACCAGTTAAACATGTTCAAATCACAAGTCTCTTATTGAGGTTGCCACCTTCAATGCTGGCAATGAAACTAAACCCCAGAACCTGCACCAGTCATGAGTCAGTGCTAGTGCAGCCTCTGGAAATCAGGCAGGGAATCCTGGAGGTTTTGAGCGTCACATCAGGCCTGAACATAAAGTGAGAACGACTATGTGTTCTCTGTCTGCAGCTTGGAAGTCTCAGTGCAACCACTATGTGTGACTGGGGGAATCTCTTGCCCAAAGACACAATGGTAGAATGAGGTTTGTTACTGGTGACCCTCTGGTTGGGACTTGCTGATCGTCCAGCGCTGTGACTGGTTACATTCGACAGCTGCAGAGTGCAGTGATCATATCAAATCATTTGCATAAGAAACTGCATTCATCAGAAAACTACAAATTAAATCTACATGTAATTATTTTCATATTATTATTGTCTAAATCTGGTCTTTCCTTACTCCACTTACTACCATGACTTGTCTCGTGAGATGTGTCTTGCTCCACTTCTAATCAAAATAAAGGTTTGTACTGAAGCAGGTGTGTCAGCTTCAAGAAATGCTCCTGGTGGTGGTTCCAGACTCTAGACTGTGCTGCTGTCGTCCTCCCTGATGGGACAGACACATTTCTCTATTGATCACATCAAACTTTGCCATGAAATCTCCAAAAGGTAAATTCACAAATGTTGAACCTGATCATTTCTATTAGTGACTAGAGTCAAGACCTCAGTGTTACAACACAAACCTGCATTTGAACAAGATTCATTTTTGCAGCCTAACACCTGTGTTAAATGTTATTGACCAGTGCAACACTGTGATGTGATCTGAAACCAAGTCAAACACAGAAGCACAGAGAACAGTCACACGTGTCGAATACTCTGTCAGTGAGACACTACACAACACTGGGCTGTCTCATCTGATTCAAGAGCCAAAGAATCCATCACACTGGTCATAAATTCTATTCTCACAAATACTATACCATGATATACTGTGGCCAGACCTCCATGTCAAAGCCTGAACTCGACAGATCTCTGATATGTGTTATAACTGGGTGAGGAGTTTGAGGAAGAGCGAGCACCCACTGGGAGAGTCTGCATGCATGGACTTCTACACAACACAAGGCCTTCAGCACCATCTTCAAGAAGAAGGGCAAACAAACAGCGTAAAAGCAAACCAACCACAGTGTGTCTAATGAGAAAGCATGAGACCTTTAAACACAGCCACTACACCAGAGTACAGTACTGCACGCGTATTACTGCATAATTCCTCTGATAAGACGGAGCATGTGCACATCCCAGATAATACATGTGTGGAGATAGCACTGTCCACTCCGTGTCCCCCTGAAGCCGGGAGGCCACGTCGCTCAATTAAAAGCATCAGGCTGTAATGGGCCCCACGTCAGCTCAGCTGTGTCTCACACATGGACACACGAGTTTCGTGACACACTGTCATGTCTGATAGAACATTCAAAGATGCTCTGAAGTGTCGTGCACCTGAGCAAACGCACATGAAAGCTGCTCCTGTCTCTTCACATTCTGAGCGCTAAAACGGAGTTTGTGCTGCGCCCGGCGGAGGCTTATGGATCCAAAGACGTGGTCGGAGCTAAAAATAGTCCAAGATTAGGATCAATAGCTGCAGCTGGTTCCAACCGCGCTCACACTCAACTGTACAAATGTGCACCGTTAGAACGCACGCACACACACGCGTGCACACAAACACGCACACACAGGCGCACAGACAGTCTCCGGGGGGATACACTGTACATGACCGTGACACAGAGGAGACACACGGCTCATAAGCCGCTCACATCGCTCCAGTACCGGGTTCTCATCCTCCGCTCTCCCGCTATGGGGCCGCGCGCCTAGCAACAGGTCCAGCCACAGCCAGACCGCTCCGGACCGGGCTAAAGAGACGGATGTGGGCCGAGTGCATCTCTGTTTAAATAAAACAGCAGCACATGTGGATGTGGCGCGCTTTGCCGCGCTGTCATGTGCAGCCAACGCACCGCGCCGCGCGGCGCACAGTCTGGACACTGTCGCCAACAGCCCCTATTTTTACAGGGTTTTTTTTTTTTTTCTACAACCACCCGCCCCACGGTGCACACATCTCCCGCACACTGCACACTGAAAAAACGTGCTCACTTTAAACAGGTGAGGAGTTTGAGGAGCGGAGTGCGCCCGAGGAGCAGGCGGCAGATGGACGCAAACGGAGCTCCGCCGCGCGTCTCAATATCAACATAAACATGCTCACGGAGGCTTTGGCGCTCACGGCTCCTCAGACTCCCCACTGCGCTCTGAGCGCTATGAGGAGCGGCTCTGACAGGCTCTGTGCAGCGGCACACTGTACCGACAGCATCCCGCAGCGCACGAGCTTTCTCCCGCTCCACCACCGGGTACATTTCTAATGATTTTAGGCTGCGCCTTACCTTCAGTTCCGCACTCTCCGCCATCTTGTATTTCTGTGCGCAGGCGTGGTTAGCAGTTGTCACGTGACTGGGACGAGCAGAGCGCTGTGTGAACGCGCACAGCATGCGTGAACGCGCAGAGCGTCGGTGAACGCGCAGTGTGGCGTGAGCGCGCCCGGGATAGTGGTGCGTTCAAAGAGACCATGTTTTATTTCTTCTTCTGGACAAATGTCCTAAAAGCAGAATGAGACGTGCCAAAAGCACTGACTTTAGGACAGATGGTTCCCTCACAAACACCACGGGCGTGGGACAGTGTTTGGGACACTTTTATGTGACATAAAGTCTAACGGGCTCATATCAGAGCACATCATTTCTGTTCCCTCCACTTAAACTCCCAAACCTGACGTGCTGTGTGTCTGAGCTCTGTGCTCCTCTGTGTTCCACCGGTCTGTCATATGTGCCACATTATTATAAGTCAGATATAGTTTGATAAAGACACAGATGTGTGCAGCTTTACGCGGGTTGGTGAGTAACACGGTCCAATCAAACCAAAGCACAGCACAGGCGACTCAGTTTTGTATTTATTTATATCATCGTGCACGTGCACGTCCATTCCAACATTTACAGGTTCTGGAGGCTTTCTGTGAGTTCACATTGTTCACATTGTTCACTTTATCACATGGTGCTTCTCGTGTTGGCCTCTAGATGGCGCCATTTGATTTCAGATGGATCTCTACAGGCCACACGGTCGTTCATTTGAACTATGACTTTTACAGTTCATTTGAGGCTTTACTTTATCATCTTGTACATGACCAAAGTCCCACAGAACATGAAGACAAGCTCCTTCACTGTTCACTGAAGTATCAGTAAAGTTTGGTGTAGTATTTGGGAAAAGAGTATAACTTTATAACTGCATTGTGTCACTTTTTTGGTGTAGGGTCTGACATGTGCACTTTATATTATTTCTTTGTCTCAAATATTTCACAGTATGGCATTAAACCTTTCTATCTTCATGTAGACCAAACCAAACAAAGTTCCAGGTCAGATCTGTGGAGAGGTGACCACACTCACAGCCAGAATGTCTGTTTTATAGATATTTTAGAGCTATAAATCCACCTGTAATTGAATAAATGTAAAGTAGAGCTGTTTAATGTCAGTGTTGAACATTTGAAGTAGAGCAATAAGCAGGTGACAGACCCCCAAATGAAATGTTACATAGCGCAGCTTTAAAGAGTAACCTTCAGGAAGTAACATCTGATTTATAATTTGAAGTGAAGTGTGCATTATTTCCTGTTTTGTCCAAAGAACAGACACAAAAAACACTTTCAGGTGCACAGACTTTCAGATAAGATCTGAAGAATCGCTGCAAGAAAGACAAATGTTTAAATCATTTCATATTGTCACATCAAGTTTTTGTCACTTTTTGTCACTTTCACTTTACTCACAGTGGGAAGAGGAAACACAACTTTTACTCGAGTAAGAGTACTATTATAAAAATAGAGTAAAAGCAGACTGCTAGAAAGCTAAAGTTAAGTAAATGTAAGTGAGTATTACCCACCTCTGTTCTTGATGATATTTTCATCATTCTAGAACCCCCACATAAGAGATGATAAAAATTTAAATTTCTGTTTTATGTTTTTGTTTACCAAAATGTGCATGTTATTTTATAGGCTTCTTGTTTTGTTTTTTGATCCCACGCTGAAGCCAGTGAGCAAAAAGTGAATATAAAGAGGCCAAAAAGAGCATGTGCAAAATGAAGCACTGGCCTGTAAGTTTAACATTAACAGAAGTTCCCCCCAAACAGAGAGGATCATGTATGTGATATACATGCAGCTCATATGACTTCACTGGTGAGAATGTATTCTTTTTATTAACTATTTTGCCTTTTTTTTTTTTTTTCAAAAATTTCCAATGTAATATACAGTGATATAAAGAGTTTAAGGGCTCAGCATGCACAATATCTGTGTTATGCATTATACAAAAGTAGAAAAATAATAAATAACAAATACATTCACATTTTATATTTTAACTTTCATACAAAGTGATTTATATATATAGATATATATGTATATATATATATATATATATATATATATATATATATATATATATATATATATATATATATATATATATATATATATATATATATATACATATATATGCTGTTCCCAGTACTGCACTTTTCTGGACTGAGATGTCTGTTGTTTTTCCCGGTATCTGTTGTGGCTCTTCCAGTTTGGGGTTACAGCCCCGAGTGTCCGATCACCACAGGCACCACTGATGCCTTTACATTCCAGGCTCTCTCCAGCTCCTCCTTGAGCCCTTGGTATTTCTTTAGTTTCTTGTGTTCCTTTTTCCTGCTATTTCCATCTCTTGGTATTGTGATGTTCCACCACAACGGCTCTGCTCTGTTTCTTCTCCACCACCACTATGTCTGGTTGGTTCGCCATCACCATCCTGTCACTCTGTATCCTTGTATCCCTGACCTTGGGATCTCCAGCCCGTACTCTGCACAGATGTTTCTGTACACTATGCCTGCCACTTGGTTATGTCACTCCATGTTTGCTTTTCCTGCCAGCATCTTACACCCTGCAGTTCTGTGCTGGACTGTCTCAGGAGTCACTTTGCACAGTCTACACCGTGGCTCTTGTCTGGTGTCGTAGATCTGCTCCTGTGCAGCCAGGATCAGTGCCTCTGTGTGTCCTTCAGACCAGCTCTCTCAAGCCATTGGTAGGATTTCTTGATATCAGCCACGTCAGTTATGGTGGTACGCCCTGTGTTGGGGCTTGTCCTGCCATGATGGTCCCACCAGCACCTCTTCCTCTGGACCTCTTCTCTCAGGGTTTGTCCTTGATGTTCTCAAGGAGCTTGGATGTTTCATCCTGGACAGTGGTTTCCACACTCACTAGTCCTCGGCCTCCTTCCTTCCGGCCTGCGTATAGTCTCGGGGTGCTGGATTTGGGATGGAACCCTCAATGAATGGTCAGGAGCTTTCATGTCTTAACATCTGTGGTCTGTATCTCCTCCTTTGGCCAGTGCATGATTCCTGCAGGGATCTGATCACTGGCAGGACGTAGCTGTTGATTGCCTGCGCCTTGTTCTTGCCATTGAGCTGCTTCTTAGGACTTGTCTCACTCTTTGCAGGTATTTGGCTGTAGCCGCTTTCCTTGTTGCCTCTTCGAGGAGCCATTTGCTTGTGGGATACCAAGGTACTTGTAACTGTCCTCAGTGTCTGCTATTGTTCCCTCTGGGAGTGACACCCCCTCTGTGTGGACTACCTTCCCTCTCTTTGTCACCATCCTGCTACATTTCTCAAGCCCGAATGACATTCCAATGTCTGTACTGTAGATCCTGGTGGTGTGGATCAGTGAGTCGATGTCTCGCTCACTCTTAGCGTACAGCTTGATGTCATCCATGTAGAGGAGGTGACTGCTGGTGGCCCTGTTTCTGAGTCGGTATCCATAGCCAGTGCAGTCAGTGATTTGGCTGAGGGGGTTCAGGCCTATGCAGAACAGCAGTGGGGACAGTGAGTCTCCTTGGTATATGCCACATTTGATGGACACTTGTGCAAGTGGCTTCCCATTGGCTTCAAAGGTGGTTTACCACAACCGCATTGAGTTTGCAATGAAGGCTCTTAGAGTCCTGTTGATATTGTACAGCTCCAAGCACTCAGTGATCCGTGTGTGGCATTGAGTCGTAGGCTTTCTTGTAATCTATCCAGTATTTTAGCCAGTATGCGTGGATCATGTCAGGGCCTGGTGTGGTCCAGTTTTTCATACCTGAGACTCTTTCCTGGATGTCTGCCACTGTGATGGTGACTGGATTCTGTTCAGGGAGGTTGCTGTGGTCTTCTCTCAGATCCACCAGCCACTGTACATCGGTGTTATGTGATGCCTCCCTCTCCCATATGCCTTTCCAGTACCTCTCAGTCTCCAGCCTTGGTGGTTCTGCTCTGCCACTGAGCGTACACTTTCACAGGTTATGTTGGGAACAGGCGCTTTATTCATCTGGCTTCATTATCTTGTGTGTACCTCTTCAGTCGGCTTTAGCCGACCTATGATTTTCACTACATTGACTTTCATTAAATGAAATATGGAACAACATTTTAGGGGCTCATTATTTGCACATTCTCTTTGCACAAGTGGGAGTGTTTTCTTTTGCAGTACTAGAAGATTCTAACAGTGCAGAGTCAAATCAGTAAGTGCATTCATTAGCCACTAAATTTATATAGCACCCAAGATACCCGAAGCTTTACTGTGCATTATTCATGAACAACACACTCAGAGGAGGTACTATACTGTTGTAGTCAGAGCTGCAATGACAGAAGCTAGACTGCCAGTCTGCACCATCTCTGACTTAAAGTGTCTTGTCTAAGGGCACTACAGTTTTTGCACCTGGCTCCCCACTGTGGCTCCTGGTGTTCTCTGTAGTCTCCCATCCAAACACTGACCAGGCCTGGCCCGGCTCAGCTTCAGAGATCTGATGAGTTCAGGCTTTGAGGAGCCTATATGGTCATTCTGTTTCATTCTTCTGTTTATGCAGTGTTGAGTTTAATGATAATATACATTTAAAGAGGACTTTACCAAAGCTATCACGCGTTAGGGTTTTTGTGTCAAAGGTACAAAAAAAAAGAAGGAGGCCAAGGAAGACCCAGGAAACGCTGGAGGGACTGTGTCTGTGGGCTGGACTGTGAACACCTCGGGGTCCTCCCGGAGGAGCTGGAGGAAGTGTCCAGAGTGAAGGAAGTCTTGGAGTCCCTGCTGAGACTGCTGCCCCCACAACCCGGACCCGGATAAGTGGAAGAAAATGGATGGATGGGTTTAAAGTAGTTTGAATATTATCATCTGTCATGTTATTTTTCTGTATCAGTATATGAATGACCAGGTGAGTCCTGAAACCAGTGGAGTCCTGAGAGCAGGTGAGTCATCTGATGCCCCTGATCCCTCATACCTGTGACTCAGTTGCTTTCCTTCTCATCATTCTGACCAGCTTCGTCCTGTGGAAATGTATAAAGTGAGAAGATCCTCCTCAGATCAGCCCCTCATACACACTG